TCTTGAGGACTATACTGTAAGCTCATTCATTCACACAGACATCACTGTCCTCTTTGTCTCACCGTTGTTTGTGGTTGTCTCCACCAGGGCAGAAAGGGACACATTTTCCATGATTCAAGGTTGTATTTCTTTCCTCTCTGGCACTTTGACTTTCAGTTTTTATGTCACTGTCACTGACGTCTCTCCTCCTCCTCCTCCTCTTCCTCCTCCGCTGTCTTCCTCCTGCTTGTCGTCTCCACTTCCACTTCTCCCTCATCTGTTTAATGTCTTTCCCAGCATCCCACTCTCTCTTCCTTTTAGTGCTGGTTTTGTTCAGTAGCTTGAATTCATGGACATTTACGTGTTGTAAATACACAGGATTTTTTTTCTTCTTCTTCTTCTTTTCAACCTCTTGAACATCATCCTTTAATGGACTGAGGGAATGCACTGCAGTGAAAGTCACAACAAAGTCTTTGGTCATTAATGTTTTGACTCTTATCTTAAGACACATTAGACACAAGTCAGGAGACACTTAAACAACACAGTGTTAATATTTTGGGTTTTGTGTGTGAGTGTCTTTGCATCTGCCAACCACAGCGTGTCACAAAGGATGGGCGACTCCATTGGTCTGGAGCAGCATCTTAAGAGTTAGTGTTTGTAAAGTGAGGCTCATGGAGTTGGAGACGGGCTTTGAGATCTGTTAATCAAATGAAAAGTCAAACTTTTCATATTGAATTTGATGGGGTAAAAATGTCGTTCATTTTACGATTCTTCCAAATATAACAACAACGGCCTCACAGCAAGGTCCAAATATTTAAAAAAAAACCCCAGAGGCTTCACTTCCAGAGGGGACATCGAATAAATGAGCATTTCATTCTAAAAATACACCTGACGTCATCAGTGAGGGGCAGATGTCACCACTGTGATAACGGTCCAGAGGGAGGTTAGAGGGGGGTTACAGTGGAAACTGAGAGGGTTTGACCTGGTCTGGGTTGGTCGTCCACCAAGACTAGTCACGTTTATAATTTTACCTCTGTGTTAGTTACGGTTGTTGTATGAACACGTCTTCACTGTGAGAAGCAGCCAGTAAACAAACAGTGACAGATCTGTGAAGTGAAAAAAGAAAATCCCCGAACAGTGAATTATTTAGGGAAAACCTTTTCTTCTGTCTAAATGTCCTTAGTTTTTATTAACCATATTTAAATAAATGGGGTTTTTTTATTTTTGGTTTCCTGAGATTGTAAATAGCAGAACTTAACCTCGTTCAGAAAAGGAAATATCATTATATATGTACATATATTTACATGTATAGTATAGTCACATCAAGAGGTATGTATGTATATATATATATGTATAGTCATATCAAGGGGACATGAGGTTTTCATACTGACTATTGTCACATTTTTGTTCCCCACAAAGTAGTTAATATTTACACACAAACAACAGATGTGAGACGACAGACGGCGAGTCGAGGGGGAAATATCAGTTGGATTTGTTGGAGGCATGATCTTCTTAAAGGTCAATGTAATATACAATATATCATTTGGGAGTTAAAGGCCACATTTGCAGATGGATTCAATCAGGAACAGTAGGAAAAGAGAGCGGCTCAGATCAGAGCCCTGAGGTTCACCGTAGCCCAGATTACAATCATATGAGGTCAAATTCTCACCGGAGTTTCCCTGCTCTGTCCCTGGATCCAGAAAATCACCTTTTCAGAGTGTGTCAACATGCAGCTGAGCTAACTCATAGTTCACAACTCTCTGTATGTAAATGAGCACCATGTTGATCATACTGTGAAAAACAGAATCAGTACGGTAGGAAACCCACTGAATACCACTGAATACCGTAATTTCTGGACTATACGCAGCTACTTTTTTACACGCTTTGAACCCTGCGGCTTAATCAATGATGCAGCTACTGTGCTACACTAGTAGAGCTGGTAAAACACTGTTTATGTTCTGTTGTGCTCGGTGTGACTGATTATAAAGACAACTTCCCTGTTTCTGTTTACCTCTGAGGCGGACAAGCACGAAGTGAAGGGAGTTAGCCCCGGAGCTAACGTTAGCTTCCGCTCTGGAGCAGATCACTAAGTCTCCCCTGTGCAACCGTCCAACTACGAAGCAGGAAAGAGCTAATGGGTAACCAGTCGTGTTACAGGGACTGTGAAAAAAACATTTATTTATTTATTTAAGTTTTCTCACCTGCGGCTTATAGAGGAGTGCGGCCGATATATGAACAAATATTTTTTTAATAATTCTAAATTTAGTTGGTTCGGCTTATATCCAGGTGCGCTCAATAGTCCGGAAATTACGGTATCTACTTTTCAAATTCCAGGCCGTGGCGTATTGTTTATTAAGAACATTTTCAGATGTTTTCTGCCTGAAACCTAACAAAGGCCTTTTCATGAAGCGAGGGTTAAAAGTTTAGAGTCAGCCCCGACAGGGGAACGTCATATTCATGTAGCAGAAGTTCACAAACAGCTTATGAAACGTCAGGCGAACCGTCTGAAAGAAGGCAGCTTTATCTGCGATCAGAGCGGCCGTGTCTTGTGACCGCAGCCCGTCATCATACTGTAGGTCAACTGACCCGGCACAATGAGGCCTTTCATCGTCGGATCGTTGCAGTCCTGACGAAGGTAGCATCAATTCCACGGAACCGATTGCACAAGTTCACTTAGGAGGTCGTTGTGTAAGGAGTATTTTTAGTAAACCGGTTTATTTCCGTGTGTTGTGCTTGTACAGTGATAGTGTTGTACAGAACGCTTCGACCACACTGATCCTCTTGGTCGAAGCCGAGATCATTAAGAAACAGACAACATGGCGGCAAAAGTGGAATTCTACAACAGTTCCATAACTATGCAATAGGGTTGGTACTGTTTTTTTACTCTCATACTTTTTTATTTTGGGGTTCAGTAAATATGCAATAAACTGGAAAAAAGTCAGTTTCATTTCCACCTCATTAAGAGAAGAGAAGTCTAGATGAGTTAGAAGAAAACAAATCTTTCTGTGTTAAAGAAAAAGTCTTAGACAAAAAATCATCAATATAACAGTATGAGTATAAAGTTGTCTTCTATTCCAAGATACAAACACAAAATGCAGGTTAAATAAGTCTCGGCAAAAAGAGACTTAGTGAAGTGTAGTCATCGCTGACTCACGTCTGCAGGAGGTTTTTTTAAATGCTTATTTCATTCATCCATCCATCTAACCGTCCATCCATCCATTCATCCATCCGTCCATCCGTTCATCCTTCCATCCATTTATCCATACATTCATCCACCCATCCATCCACCTGTCCATCTATCCACCCATCCATTCATCCATACATCCATCCACCTGTCCATCTATCCATCCGTCCATTCATCCATCCATCTTTCCATCATCCATCTTTCCATCTTTTCAACCATCCTTTCATCCGTCATCCATCCACCCATCAATTCATCCGTCCACCCGTCCATCTTTTCAACTGTCCATTCATCCATCCATCTGTCCGTCCATCCATTCATCTTTTCACCTGTCCATTCATCCATTCACCCATCCATCCGTCCTTCCATTCATCCATCCACCCGTCCATTTATCCATCCGTCCATCCATCCACCCGTCCATCCATCCTTCAGTGGGTGATGCGTTGAATGAATAAATGACATCCATCCATCTTTCCACCCGTCCATTTATCCATTCGTCCATCCATCCACCCGTCCATCCATCCTTCAGTGGGTGATGCGTTGAATGAATAAATGATGTCCATCATGAATTATCAAGTGTCTCAGGATTGGCCACTCATCATAGTTAAAATAATAGCTGCTTCTTCCCAGAACTCAAATGTACACCAGTGGTTTTCAGTACGATGGTTTTACGCCCTAAATAAGTAACCACTGAGTTCATGCAACTTAATGGAGACCTTATATTTTCCTGTTTAGATCAGCAATTTGTAAAGTACTCAGACCAACAACATCCAGCCTCGACAGCTGCGTCACTGACAAGAAGTGCTTTTTTTATTGATCCACTCACCAGTGGTTCTGTTATGGGATGTGCTGAGTTTATGAGTGCACTTGTTTTAGTAAAATAAAGAAAATAAAAGGAAAGTTTTTAAGGCACCACAGTTGAACTCAATCAGTTTAATGTAGCTGAAACAGAACTTTATTGCATTTCTCAACTGTATTCTCAAATGTACCCGTTTGGTTGTTCGGCTCTTTGTTGGTCTGGTGGAATGAAAATGAGCAAATTTAGCACTGGCCCGAGTCTCAGGCCCAGATGGGAAGATTTGTGTTTGATCCTTTTATCGCCTGCCTCCGTATATACAGTCAGTGTCCAGAGGTACTGTCTCACTCTGTCTCTCAGTCACTCTGTCTCTCAGTTCACCTCCTGCTGGTGTAAAATAAAAAAATAAAAAAATTACTTTATTGGTTTTTCTTTGAATTTGTGGCTAATGTTTCACTCTGACGTGTGACTCTTGGTCTCGGTCTTGTCTGGGGAAGAGTCTCTGTGTCAGAGTCTGGACCAGCAGAAGTGTCAGACACTTAATCAGACACTAATGAAAAAAAAAAAAAGAAGGTTGATTTGATTCTGGAAGTGTAGCTTAGTCACATGAACAGACATCAAACCCACAGGCTGGAAATAGATGTGATGAATGGAGCTGCTTGATTTAGATCAGGGCTGTCAAACTTGTTTTGGTTCAGGGGCCGCATACAACCCAATTAGATGTCAAGTGGGCCGGACCGATACAATCATAACATAATTACCCATAAATAACAAAAGAGTCTGTCTTTTTCCTCTTTGTTTTCATGCAAAAAAAAAAAAAAAAAATTATTAGATAAACCTTTATATGTATTTAAATATAATTGTACAAAACATTTCCTGAATGTGAAGTGTTTCTGTATTTATCAAGTGGGCCGGTATTTGCCTGCGGGCCTTATATTTGACACCCCGATTTGGGATGCTGCCGGTGATAATGATTTTTAACGAACACCAAGTCCTCTCTGACTGACTTTTCTCACCTACTTTTTCCTTTATTGCCCTTTCTAGATGTTGGAGCCTAAGGTGGATGCCCCTTCATGTGAGCTGGACGGAGTCGGAGGAGATCGAGGAGGTGTTTGCCTCCACCTTCCTGCCCGTGGTTCAGAAGGTGAGGAAAGCAGTGTATATCCTTCAAGCCCCTCGGAGCCTCCGACCCTCGGCAGCCCTCACCCCTCAGAGTCCCTCACCCCTTTGGAGGATATCTACATGCCCCTGGGTAGCCTTCTGGGGTCTGAGGAGCAACATAAGGTACCTCCTACACCTCCTCCCTCCACCGAGGGTGAGGATTGCAAGAGCATAGAGGGACATGAGATGGAAATCTGGAGAGAGGAGAAGAGCAGAGAGGATGAAGAGGAAGATGGTATGAGTAGGAAGAGTATTTTCAGTGAAGGAGAGGAGAAGGACGGAGGAGAGGAGGAGGCCAATGAGGAGGAGGTCAACCTGAACCTGCTGGTGTCAAACACAGATGAAGACAACGCCTCAGAGCCGCCGGACACAAACGCCCCACCTTCCTCCTCCTCCTCCTCTTTTGTCATCCCTGAACTGCGCCTCGACCGCTCCTACAGCGCCGACGCCCTCTCCTCGCCCAACACCGACGAGGAGGATTACGATGAAGACGACGAAGATGAGTCCGAGGAGGAGGACGAGGAGGGGGACAGTGACGACGCCTACCTGCAGCGAACTGACAGCAAGCGGCGCAGCATGGTGGAGGGCGCCACCTGTGAGAAACACGGAGGAGGCGGGCTCAGGGTGCAGAACTCCCTGCGCAGACGCACGCACAGCGAGGGCAGCCTCCTGCAGGATCCGCGCACGCCGTGCTTCACCTCTGACAACGCCATCAACTGCCTGGAGGCCGGAGGAACTCACCACAAGGGGGGGTGGACTCTGCCGTCGCCCAAAACCCTGAAGAAAGAGCTGACCAAGAACGGAGGCTCCATGCATCAGCTGTGCATGCTGTTCTCTGGGAGGAAGGTGAGTCGAGACTCACACAAATACTGAGAGAAAATATTACAAATATTACAAATACTGCTAGTTTAATATAGGCCTATAAATACATTTTAATTTTCCTCATTATATTAAATACAATTATGATAAAATAACATTTTACAGCTGCTGCCTGTAACTACATAAAGGGTTCACTTTTGCCCACTCCTGTCTCTGCAGGTCTACTTTTGTAAATACTCTCTAATTTACAGTTCTCTTTTTGAACGTTCTAGCTAGTACTGCAGTGATTTCAGGTATTCATTTGGTGTACCACCAGACTTCTGACACTTTAGTAAAAAAAGAAAAGAAAAAAAAATTCAATCTGATTGTGCCCAGTACCACTAGAGGGAGCCCACATACCACCAGTGGTACACGGACCACAGGTTGAGAACCAGCATAACATTACTCTTACGTAAAGTGCAGCTCATACATTTCATTACTTTTAGATCTTTTTTGGTTTTAGCAAAACAAAACAAACATGTAAAAGTGGTTAATAAAAATCACAGTTTTCTTCATTGAATGAATAGAATCCACTTGCAATGTTGGTTGCAGGTTCAATTCCACCTCCAGGTGGGGTATGTCTGAAAGGACATTTGACAAATATTACCATATTGACTACTGCAATAGTAAAGTGATTTTTCATATTCTCAAATAATGATGTCACATGAAGAAAAACAACAACAACAATCTTTGAACTCAACTTCCCTCCTGGTCGAGTGTCTTTCTTCCCAGTTTTCTTCCCACAGCAGTTTTTTTTTTTTTTTTTTACGCGCGC